CTCCCCTCGTGTTGCCTTGTCCTACCCCACGACTTATATTAGTTAAAGTACCTCGGAATTCACCTTATAATCATCCTTGTCTTTTTTAGTCAAAATAAAAGCAATACTCATTCTGAAGATAATAATTCCCTTATTCATTTTATGAACATTGAATAATTAAATGGGCAACTATGGAAAATTTTACAGTTCATACCCCTTTCTAAATGTATTCTACAGGGTATTTTATAGTGTGTTAACAATAGAAAAATCCATATCCATATATATATATATATATATACAAAACGGAAGATACTACAAAATGGCTATAGGCAAAAATGAACAGCGATTCCGCCTACCCTCATCATTGCCCAAAATTCATCGCACGGTCACGAATGTCTGGTAGTACTTCATTTTTTATTTTTTTTACAGATTAGAATGACCTAAAAGTTGGAATGTATGTACATCCTAATAATTCACAACTAATAAAAATGCAAAAAATAATAATTCGCTAAAAAACAATTGACCAAAATACCCTCAAAGATTTTTGGGCGTGTTTTGGTCAATTTGTTTTGTGAATTATTTTTTTTATATTTTTATTAGGTGTGCCTCACTAAGATGTACACACGCTCCAAATTTTAGATCATTCCGATTTGTAGAAAAAAAAAAAATACTACTGAATGGTGATGAGGGTAGGTTATTTTATTCTCAAATATAAAACAATATATATAAATGGATCCCACCCCTTGGCTTAGAAGGCACATGTTTGCAATGGCATGTAGCACACTCACAATTGTGACTCTATTGTCCTTCACATTGGCAACTTGCATCCTATTAGGACATACCCAGATATCATGGTAGGCCATGAAGCTCTATTTCTCTCGCATCTCATTGAATAAACGGCTAGAATTTTCCATTTTGCTAACTCCCAGCATAACCTCCAATAATCGGCTAGAATTCTAGACTATCTCTCTCGGGCACTTTATTGAATAAATCTCGAGCCTAGTGAATCTATTTAGTATCAATATACACATCAATCGAAGATTTCCATGATACCATATCTAGTTCTAGCTTGCAAGCCCATTAGGTGAGACCGCGGGTTGGGTCATATAGTAATACACCAAAAAGATGGCATCCTCAAGTTGGGACTTTGCATAGCATCTTATCATGGTGTTCCAAATGAATGAGTTTTGCATAACATCGAAGAATGATCTCCCATCTTTTATGTTCTTTGGTGTGGCATAAAATGATACTAATGTGAGAAAGTCTCTCATTTTTTGTATTAACTCGGTAGGTATATCAACATGCTTTGTATTATCAGCCAGAAGAGCTCGAGAAACAAATATTTGAGGCATACTTAAGTTGAGAAAATAGATACCCACGAGACGAATAAGCTAGCTTTAGGCCCCAAAATATTTTAAGAATCCCAAAGCTTTCATCTCGAAAAGCTGACTAAGTTATTGCTTGATCAGATGAATGATAGCCTCATCATCACCAGATACAATCATACCATCAACATAATAAGAAAATTCCACATCCTCAGGGTGTGATTGAGACAAACATGGCACGATCATCATAACTCTATTGAAAACCTACAAAGACAACAACATAACTAAAATTTTCAAACTAAGCACGAGAAGTTTGATTTCAGCCCATAAAGTACGCGCCGTAGTCGATACTTTGTTGTCAGGATCTTAAAACCCAAGAGGTAATCTCATATAAATTTCTTCTACAAGATCGTCATTAAGAAATGCATTTTTGACATCAAGTTGATATAACACCTATTGGCGAACAATAGCCACATAAATCAGAGTGCAAACAATAGTCATGTGAGCAACATGAGCAAAAGTTTCAGCAAAATCAATCACAAATTGCTAATTATAACTTTAAGCTACAAGTCGTGCCTTATAACGCACAATACTACCATCAGCTTTAGTTTTGATTTTGTACACCCATCAGCAACCAATGACACTTTTATCTTTAGGAAGATGGACAAGATCCCAAGCATTCATTCTATCAAGGGCTGTCAATTCTTCTACCATGGCAAGTTGCTACTCATTTTGTGTGGTAATTTCTTCATAAGTCTCCGACTCATAATAAGAATGAACAGAAGCAAGAAATGCTTGATAGTTTGATAAAAAGGTTTTATAATAAACAAAACGAGCAGGTAAGACAGATACGCAGTTACTACGGTGGACAAAAGGCGTCTATATAGGAGCAGCAAGTTCAGATACCTAAAGTGGTCCATCAGCATTAGTTGAGTGCTCTACAACCAGACTACCTGTAGGAGGTATGGGTAAGGTTCTAAACACATCAGAAATATTACCAAAGAAAGGGACCAGAAAAGAAGTGGAAGACAGAGAAGGTGACCAGAAAAGAAGCGAAAGAAGAGTTAGCAGCAGGTAGAGGAGAATTAAAGGAATATACTCATAAAATACTACATATCGGGATACCAAAGGTTTCTTAGTCAATGAGTTATAATATCTATATCCCTTTTGGTGGTCAGGATAACTCAAGAAACAACATTTAAATACCTTGGCTGACAATTTATCTCGTTCAGATGCTGGTAACATAACAAAGCAAGTGCAGCAAAAAACACAAAGAATATAATAGTCTGAGGGTTGCGCAAACAGTCGTTTAAAAGGAGAACATCCAGACAAAGTAGCAAAAAGCATAACATTAATAAGATAAACAGCTGTGTGAATAGCTTCTGCCCAAAAAACCTTTAGAACCGAAGCTGACAAGAGAAGAGCTCACGCAATTTCTAAGATACGGCAGTTTTTGTGTTCACCAATACCACTTTGTTGAGGAGTATATGGACAAGATTTTTAGTGTTAAATATTTTTGTCAACAAGAAACTTTTGAAACATCCCACTAATATGCTCCCCACCAGAATTTGATCGCAAGGCTTTGATTTTGGTAGAAAATTGAGTTTCAACGTATGAATAAAACCAGACAAAAATGTCATATAGTTCACTGCGGTTATTCATAACGAAAACCCAAGTATATCTGGGTTTTGAATGATAATGCATGCATTTTACTAAGTATGTACGACTCACAATCTTTAACAGTAGAGAGAGATTTAGAAAGAATAGAATCAATAAGACCACGAGAAAACAAACATTCTATCTAAGAGATAGAAATATGACCTAGATATTGACGTCACAAAGATCCTTTATCAGATATTGCAGCACATGCAGAGGTTTTGGTGGGAATTTTTAAATGAAGATGGTCCACATAGTAGAGGTCACCACCTATATGCCTAGACCTAATCAGTTTCCCTAATTGTTGATCCTGCACATGACATCATCCAAAAGGAGTGAACACAACATTGTAATTGGCATGGGCAATCTAGCCAATAGAGAGCAGATTCATGGCAATGGAGGGAACATAACAAACATCAGAAACATTCAATTTGCCAGAAGGATCAGAGGATGCAGTAATTGAGCGAACATTAGAAACTTCCATAGCGGTGCTATCAACAATGTAAATAATATCAAAACAGGGTTTACAATCAACAAGAATAGAGTTGTCATATGGCAAGAAGCACTCGAGTTTACTGATCAGGAAGTTGAAACAATATTACCTGAAAAAGCAGATGCTGACCTTCTAGAAAATCGAGATTCTGAGAGTAACATTGAAGTTGTTCCATTGAAGATTGATTGATGAAAAAGCAATACCAATAGCTTATGGTTTTACATCAATTGCTTGAGTTCTAATAGTCATTGCAGGTAGATCAGGAATGTGACCCTCTAAAGTTTAACTTGACTCAGCAGCTACTGTACCCGTTTGTTTTGATTTTTTCTTCAACAAAGAAAATTGTTCAGCACAATTTACAAAAGTAGTCTCTCACAATTTCCACAATTTACTGGCAATAAACAATATAAATCACCAGCCGCAAGTCCAAATGATCACAATGGACCATCAAGATACAAATGGGATCACAAACTCTTTTTCAATAAACGCCTCACTTACCTTTGGTGAGAAGAAGTAGACAAGGGTGAGACCAGAAGCAATGGGGAGAAAAAAAAACAAAAAAAAAAAAGAGAAAAAACGAGACTTTCAAGACGTTCAAGAATAGACGTTTTCAGCACAAATCATAGAAGTTCAAGAATAGAGAACCCCGAATGCAGATTGATAACCCCAGAACCAGAAGACAGAGGGTTTCAAATGGGGGTTTGGGTTTTGGACGAGAGCTTTTCTAATCTGGTTTCAGATAGCGGGTATCAAAGATAGAGGGTTTCAGATCTATAGGTTTCATAGATAGTTTTCATATCTGTCGGCTTTACAACGTTTTCTAGAGGCTGTTTTTCTTATGCAAATTTCTGTGGGTGGCATTGAGATGACGGTTTCCGATGTTTTGAAGTGGTTTTCAGATATGGCGGTTTTGACTTAGGGCAGTTTTGAGTTCAGTAGGGTGGTATTGCAGAGGTGGTTTCGATTTTTCAAATAGAGATTTCAAATTTCAAATTTCAAATGTGGTTTCAATGGGTGGTTTTTTATGCGCAGTTTTGGGTGTGGTGGTTTCGGTAGAGTTTCTGCTTAAGGTTTTAGTGAATGGTTTTTCTATGGAGGTTCTGACATAGTGGTTTTGAATAATGGTTTTGATGAGCAGTTCGAGGGCTCCCTGATTAGGCTCCGATGCCATGAGAGAAAATTTGTCATTTTCTGTATTAAATTTGTCG